CTTCTGTTTGATCAACACTTGATTCATCTCTGAATCTGTTTCTTTTCATTATGGAATTTCATTTCGTCTCTTCTAGTTTCCTGCTATCTCTTGAAAACACATCTTTTCACTGGCTACCTCCAAAAGTCTGTTGATAATCCTACCAGGTGAGGTTGCTGGGCTGCTGGTGTTTGTGGAGTTTTCTCTTGACTTCTTTTTCTTTCCTGCTGTTTGCATCTGGTGCATGAAGCCATGTGGGTCCTGAGGTATACGCTGCTGGGTTCGTTTGCCTCTGATGGTGTCACTCTGTGCTAGGACTAGGTACAGTCAGAGTCTCCCAGAAGTCAACCTGAGATGCTGCTGAGCTGCATCTCCCTTCAGGCTGGCTTTCTCTGTGGCCACTATGTCCCCAACCTGTGTTGATGCTGCCTGGAGAGTAAAGAGTCTCTCCAGGCATGGTCTCCAGGAATGGTAGTACACACCTATAATCACAGCCCTCAACGGCTGAATTAGGAGGACAGGTAAGTTTTAGTCTGAGGCCACCCTAAACTACATACCATGACCTCTGCCTCAAAATTTAAAACAAACAAAAATCTTAGTCTTCAATGTGAGCATGGGTTAACCTGTAGGTTCAGATGTGTGGCCACACTGAGACACACTTGCCTCTAACAGTGTGTTAAGCACAAGCTCTGTAAGGGTGTCTGAGGATGTGCAGGGATTCTCTCCCAGCCAGGACCTCCTCCATTGCGTCTTCCTTGGTGCAGATGGATAGAGGGGAAATGATCAGATCAAACAGCTTGGACTGGCGTGCAGGGCTCAGCTAGACTGTCCTGTAAGCCTGCGTAGTCATGCAATCTGCCTGGTACCCCTCCTGTCCACACAGGCAGTGCTTGGACTGTGCACGCCCCCCCCCTCACCTTAGGATGTGCACGCCCCCCCTCACCTTAGGATGTGCACGCCCCCCCCTCACCTTAGGATGTGCACGCCCCCCTCACCTTAGGATGTGCACGCCCCCCCCTCACCTTAGGATGTGCACGCCCCCCTCACCTTAGGATGTGCACGCCCCCCCTCACCTTAGGATGTGCTTGCACACCCCCCTCACATTAGGATGTGCACGCCCCCCTCACCTTAGGATGTGCATGCCCCCCCCTCACCTTAGGATGTGCTTGAACTCTGTAGAATTCATCAGCTCTTCTTTGCATCTCCTGCTCTTGTCCATTTTGTCTGGGTTTCCCTTGTTTCCAGGGAAATGGGTCTTTGTGCACTTTCTGTGTCACAGAGGATGCAGAAACTTCTCACGTGTCCTGCTTTTCCATGAAGAGAGATGTCTGAAAAAGAGTTTTTGTGGCATGATACTGTCCCTGTGTCAGGAACTCCAGAGATTCTGAGTGCAGTCCTTAAGTCTGGGGTGTAATTCCAGACCCATTGTCCAAGGACACATTACAGGTGACAGGTGATAAACCTGGGTGACAGACCCACTCCCTCAGGTCTCTCCCGTATGTTAGACTCGGTGGCCAGAAGTCCCTAGTCACCATGTCCAAAGCTCAGGTTGTGGTAAATACCATGTTCATCCTCTGTCCAGCATAGCTCTTGGGGGGCTCTGTAAGTAACAGCTGGGCCATTGTGGGTGCCTTCCCCCTGCTCCTCCTGCTCTAATGGGGTTTTCGAGCGTCAGGAAATAACCTTGTCTCCTCTTGGCAATTTAAAGAACACTTAACTGGTGTTCTTCACTTTTAAAAATAATTTTCTGGAGACCACATCCTTAACAAAGCTTGTAAAAAGGAAGTTCAGTTGTGCTGAGGACTGAGTGCCCTCTGGAGTGTGTACTGCGTGTAGCACAATGGCTAAAAGTTAAAAATACATATTTTGAATTTATCAAATGGAACATTTTGTGCTGAGTTAGACTTGAGGCACCTTTTCCTTCAGCTATGTTTGTAACATGATAGAAGCTTCAGTCACATCTGACTTTCCACAGGGAATATTTTAATTCATTCACTGCTGAAGTGCAGATCCGATTTCTTTCTTCAGCAACTTCTTTTAAAAGACCCACTTGTATTTACCTCATGATAAGTGTTTGCAATTTGTCAAATATTATTTTATGAATGGAAACGCATGAGCCTTTCCAAGATATGCACTCCTCAGCCTCGATCTTATCTACATTGGAGTTGCCAGGCAGGTCCTGCAGGAAGTGCCCCGCTAGATTTGTGGTTACCTGTTTCCTCTTTAGTTCCGCCCGCTCACTCAGAGGCAGGAAAGCATTGAATGCCTATTGTATACACTATGTGAAAGGCTGAAGAGGAGATGCAGTGTTGGCCAAAGACCTTTGCAAGTGTGGGCCCTATAAATAAAATGGCTGTGGACGACGGTCGCTGTGATTGATTCTGTGTAATTGTAAAAACAATTCATTTTATGTGTTTGAGTGCTGTATCCCCAAGATGATTCCCAGGACCTTTGTGGAGAGAATAGGAGGACAGGAAGTCTTCCTTCCAGGAATTCATCCATCATGTCACACTGACATGTAGAGCTGCAGTACACAGAAAACAGTATGATTCTGTGCTTCCCGTTGTTTCGCAACCTCAGGAAGATGCCCAACGGTCAGCAAAGACACTACTGATAAAGCATGCATCTCTAGCTGCATCATCATAGGTACATGGTAACTATTCCTGTCAAAGAACACAGGGAAATTTAAGTGCAGACGTGGCATGTCACACTTGCCATTGTTTCAAGTCTGTGCGTTTAAATTCCTTTCTTGGAATTATTTATTTTATGTGTATGGGTGCTCTATCTGTATGTGTGCCTGCATGCTAGAAGAGGGCATCAGATCCCATTATGGATGGTTGTGAGCCACTCTGTGCTTGCTGAGAAATGAGCTCAGAACCTCTGGAAGAGCAGCCAGTGCCCCCAACCACTGAGCCATCTCTCCAGCCCCCAGATTCCATTTTTCAAGCAATATTTCTTAGTTTTATTTTGTGTTTGGGTGTTTTGTCTGTAGTTTTAGTGTGTGCGTGCGTGTGTGTGTGTGTGTGTGTGTGTGCGTGTGTGTGCGTGTGTGTGTGTGTGTGTGTTTTGTCTGTATGTGTATCTGCATTACATGTATGTCTGGTGCCCTCAGATGTCCACGACTGGAGTTATGGAAACAGTTGTGAGCGACAGTGTGGATGCTGGGAACTGATTGTCTACTGAGCCCTCTCTCCAGCCCTCTTGAATTCTTTACTGCTGTTTTTTATTCAAGAAAAATCAAACTAACCATTTTATACTCTTTAAATTAAGTAATTCCTTAATACCTAATACTGTCTGATAAATGGTTCTATTAAAAGCAATCTCCTCAATTTGTTTTGTTTGATATATGAGTTTTCTCTTCTTTGTACATTCCTTTGTCCATAAGACTAATCATTCCTAATATAGCTCCCTGGGATTTTCTTTAGTTGCGTATTAAAATCTAAGATAGTGGCTAAGAAATGAAGGGCTTTGTCAGGCCCCTGGGAATAAGGAGTTTGTGGGTATGGCTTATGACTCCAGCAATGGTCCGGCTCTCGACCTCTCGCTCCATTGACTCCTTTAGTAGAAGTCTGTAGATCGCTTCAGAGCGGCGTTGCCCCTGGCAAACCCGACAATCTTGAGGCTCTTGCCTCTGCTCTCCATCCCCAGGACTGCCTTCCTGGGCTGTGCCCCAAAGGCTTGGAAGAAGGAAGTCTCGGCCTTGCTGAGTCTTCACTTCCCTGTCCACCTCATTCTTTCAGTTCTTCATCCTTTCCACGGATACCATTGGGATGTTAGACACAGTATCAGTGATATGTGTCTCTTTTCCATTTGTTTGAAATCGTATTACAATATGGTCTGCTTTGACAGGAAGCAGTATTAAAGAGTGTTTTCCTGAAATGATGACTTTGTGGTGGTCATTCATATTATGGATTTTTGTTATAAATTAGCTATAATTGCCATATTTTAATGAATAAAAGAACTTAAAAGTAGTAGAAACAGTATGACAAAGTTAGCTGCTTCTAGCAGTTTCAGTCCAAAACCAGGAGGAAAGATGTTCAGCTTTCTCTGCTTCCTTCGCTGTCTTTATTTTTGTGATGAGATACACGGTCTGCTAGGAACTGTGTATGTTTTACAGTTGTACCTTAAGGAGAGACTCTGTGAGGGCAGTGATAAAGAGTTGAAATGTATCCTAGAAGAGACACTATGTGGTAAATCATGAGCTGGGGAAGTACTCTCAAAGCTGTGAGAGTGTTGGGGGTATGTGTACGGCAATGCTTGTGACCGTTTAGGTGCCTGGTCTCTGCAAAGGCTGTTTGAGGTTCTTCTCCTTCTGGTGATGGTGAATGGTGGGCAAAAAGTGGCTACAGTCAGGGCAGAGGGACTGCCAAGTGGCAAGCAAGTGAGGTGGTCGTGACAGGGAGACCCTCATTGCAGGCCACAGTGCAGCTTTTAGTGAACGCTAAGTGCCATGCAGTGCAGTACTCTCACCGTTTGGGAGGCAAAGCGCCCTCACCTGATTCAACTCAAGAATCCACAGCAACTAAGAACACACGAAATGAGCTCTTGCCTGCGTGAGCGCGCAGGCAAAGCCATTGCCTCACTGCCGCTAAATGCAGTAGGGGAGAAAACTGAGGGCCACGTCACAACTGCTGTAGACGGATGTTGACTTACATAGTAAACAGTACCGGAAGAGAGGGGCGGGCGCCTCCACAGTGCTGACACAATTCATCACTACACCCGGGCTCTCCTCCATCATGCTGGGGATTTTACCTGAGTGGCCTTGGAAAAGCCACATCACCACTAACTCCGTGATGCCATATTGGCTGCAGCCGGCTTGCTGGATTTTAAATTGCATCCAGTAATCCTCAAGATAGGAAAATTTTATCAAATGCATTAATTAAAATCTACCTGGTATGTAAGGGACACTGCTCTAATCTTGGCTCTGAATCCATGGTCATTCCGGTACTTGTGGTTGTATGTTGAGTGCTCTACATGCACCCTAAGTTACTGCTCCTTACATTTTCTTTTCTTTTCCATAGAGCAAATCGGCCAAGAGATGTTAGAAAACCTGAGTCATGACAGAGAAAAGATACAGCGAGCACGTGAACGAGTGAGTGTGAATCTCGCATCATTTACATGTTCTTACGTGAGAAGGCAGGGGATAAAGGTCACTGGGATGGACAGGAGATAGCAACTGCACAGCCGTGAGGCCAGATGCATGAGGATGTCTCGGCTGAGCGAGGGTCAAGTATAGGGAGAGGCTACAAGGGCTTGAGATGGAGGCACAAGCAGCCAGCCCTCTCATCTCGGCATGCCCTCCAGGTATATATTTATTTAACCCCATGCCGTGGCTGAGGGAGAGTCTACTGAGGGAGACTTTGGAGGGTATCAGTCTTGGAGAGCAAAGAGTATGTAAGTGTCCTCATCCTTCCCCAACTTCATTTTGTCCCCATTTATAGTTTGAGGACCTTGCACATTCCTGTATTAAAGATTAATTCCCACAGGAGTGTCATAAGTGCACGTGTCTTACTGTTTGGCTCTTCCCCGTGGCTTCAGTGATCATTCAGCCGGGGCTTGAGACTCATTGAGTGCTAATGTCTCTTCCATTTTCTTCTGTTTCCCTCCAGCTTCGGGAGACAGATGCAAACTTGGGGAAAAGCTCCAGGATCCTGACGGGGATGTTGCGAAGGTAAGAGCCAGGTAGGGAGCCATCTTCCGTTTTTCTCTTTAACTGTTTCTGTCCCATCGGGTTGGGGTGTACCTGTACCGGCACCTGGATTCCTCCCGTCCCTTAACTGTTTCCATCCCACTGGGATGGGGCATTTTACAGGCTCCCGAGTTTCTCCTCTTCCCTCCTAGGCTGTGTCAAAACCCTTTTGAAATAATACAACTCTAGTTTTAACCCTTTTTTGTCAGAGCCACATAGGGGTAACTCAGATTAGAGACAAGGCTTGATCTGGAGGGCTTACCTCAAGCTATGGGAAAATTGGGGTTAGACAAGAAGTGTTTTTTCATAGCCTGGGGAAGGCCCATGGCAGGGGCCTACTGACTTCCGAGGAAATGCAGGCCTGCCATCATCCGGGAAATGCTGGGTAGCAGCTTCGCTTGTTATACTGAGAGGAAGGCTGCTCTGCTCGGGGAAGCCGTTTGACTTTATCATGTACATACTTAAGGACGATGTCTAAGAATATCACAATTATCAGAGTAATCTTTTAAGTGCCATGTGTGACTAAGCTTTGATTGATGGAAAATATTCAGAAGAATATAAAAAGGTAAGTGAATGAAGATGGGTAATATTCTGCGTCTGCACATAATTATTTTGCACTAATACTTCACGGAGTAAAAAGACCATCTACCATGATCATGTCAGTGTGGAGGTGTGAGGGGTGAGGTGGATGAGGAGGTGAGTGGCCCTAGAGAGAGGGAGCTCTTCTCTTCAGACAACTGTACGAAGCAGTTGGAGACCCTCTGGCCACACATCTATGTACAGTGCTTTTCCAGAGCTGTTTGCTGTGCTAAACATTTATTGTGTAAGAACCAAGTAACTGTATAGTTGTTACAAGTTAGGAGATGGTGGCATTTCCCTATGACCCCCTCAGTGGTGAGACCAAGTTCCCAGGGCATTACCTACCGAGTTCCTCTCCATCCTTGCCTCCCCGGAGGTGCCTGCCTAACCCAGAACCAAAAGCCTTGGAGTTCCGTGCCCAAGAGCAGTAGGTAGATGACCTAGGCAAAGCTCCAAGGCCACAGAGAAGAGCACTGCCAACTGAAAGAATGCTTCAGTGCCTAAAGACAACGCAAAGAAAGGGCAGCTGCCCCTCTTGCTTCCGGGGGCGGGGGTGGGGTGGGGGAGGGGAACGGGGGACGGGGACCCTGGGATATGAGCTGTAACGAGCACTCTGCATATCTCCATTTTACCAAATCTCATTAAAGGGTCCTCCTGCTTTCTGTCGATTGAGCTGTCCAGAAATCATTCATCATTTTGAGTGTAAAAAAAAAAATCATGTGGTTATTTAAATAATATCATATTAATGTTAAAGTTCAGCTGTCACTCGATGGTATGGCTTAATCAGATGTAGCATTTAGGAAGCAGTCTCTTCAGGCTCTTCGTGGCTTTCAGGTTGGCAGATCCAAATAAGGATTTATGGCTTTCTAAGCCAATGTGCTCCTGCCCACGTTTCTGCTTGGTGTACCTCACCCCTGAGTCCAGGACAGTGCAGACAGTTATCTCAACAAATAGAGCACCCTTTCATATTGTGTTTGAATAAATTTGCAAGTCATTTAGAGAAGGTGAAAACACAACCAACTTCTGCAGCCTTTGGGCTTTCTGCAGCGAGGCCGAGGACGATGACACCTGTGCAGTGCCCTTGGGTGTCCCTTCACTGGGTGTGTCTCGAGGATGAACAGAGATAACAATCCCCGGATGGGCATCACCTTGCTATGCTCTAGGCACCTTTGGTGCTCCATATAGAGTAGCATGTTTTGCTAGACACAGCTGGCATGCGGGTGTCTGCCCAGACACCTAGGAAGGCACCTTCAATCGGTGCTGTAACTCAGAATGCATGGTGGCCGTTAGGGTTTTGTTTCTGATTACAGCTCTACAAGTTAGACAGTTGATTTCTGTGTGTGGGGAAATGCAAACACTTGGCCAAAGGCTGCATTTTGTGGGACTTAATTCCTAAAGAGTAAGTCTCTTAAATTGGGGACCAGTGCCCCTTTGTGTGACACAGTCTTTTACTCAAGGCTCTGGCTGATGTTTGGTCCTCATATCGTCCTCCCCAACACTGAGGAGGCGTACGGCGAAAGAAGCCACATTCTCTACCCCTGCCTCACACTAACACTGCAAGGCTACCGTGTGTGGCAAGGGGTGTTTCCAGCTGAGGAAAGCGTCTAGTATTGAGCCCTGTGCTCACAGGTCACCTCCAGAGCTGTGAAAGAAGAGGAGGCACTTACCGATGGGCAGCTAAGCCCACTGGCTTTTCTGCAGTGAAGAGTAAATACAAGCCAGAGAATTCTTATAAATTCTTATCCATCTGTACAGTGAACAGAAATGACAGGATATCATCCATAGTTTGCATCAGCTTACTTAACAGTGACTATTCTGTCACAAAGACAGGGGGACCCGTGTTCGTATGTACAGTCTGTACCTGTGTCTACTTAGTCATCTGTGAGACGATGAAAATTAGTAAGCACAAAGTTTACAGGCCCTGCAGCCTCTGGAGCTCCCATCTCCCACACTCTTCATCTTCTATTGGCTTCCTCCCTCCCTCCCTCCCTCCCTTCCTCCCTCCCTTCCTCCCTCCCTTCCTCCCTCCCTTCCTCCCTCCCTCCCTTCCGCCCTCCTCCCTCCCTTCCTCCCTTCCTTCCTCCCTTCCTTCCTTCCTCCCTTCCTTCCTTCTTCCCTTCTTCCTTCCTTCCCTCCTTCCTTCCCTCCTCTCTTCCTCCTTTCCTTCCTTCCTCCCTCCCTCCCTCCCTTCCTTCCTCCCTTCCTCCCTTCCGCCCTCCTCCCTTCCTTCCTTCCTCCCTTCCCTCCTCCCTTCCCTCCTCCCTTCCTCCCCTTCATGCACCTCTTTCCTTTTCTTCCTCTGCTTATTCATGTCTTCAGTAAACATTTATTGTCTGTGTGGACAGCCCAGGGATTCAGAAATGCAGACACATCTTTCTCCTCTTGTGAGTGCTGCATTGCAGAGTGCGTTGTGTGCGCACAGGAATTACCTAACTCTTGAGGAAGCCGCTCTGACTCTCCTCCAGTTGCCCCTTGCAGATCCCCCAGAAGGACTCCAGAAGCACAAACAGCTGGAAGGGTGGGTGGGGAACGTGCTGTGGTTTAAACGGCTTATGAAAGTAATATGACGGGAGAAAATGAGGGAAATGGAATATGGCTTGTTTAATCATAAACTGCAAAATGTTTCACAAGAAATTAAGTTATACGGAAAATATTGACATGTCTGTCAGTGAGATAGCAACTCAGGCAGTCAAACAGAAATTCTCTTTCATGTAGCTACACCATCTTGCCAAAGAAAGAAAACAAAGGAGAAAATTGGTCTGTTCAGAATTATAATAGGAAAACATGACATCAGAATGAAGCCATAGCTGATTCCTGGAAAGCGATTTTTCTTGTCTCCTGACATAGATGGAGAGCTACCTTGGACAGACTGTTCATTTCCTGGCTCTCTAGACAGATTTTAAATAAAGTGTGATTCAGATAATAGTTGAAATGGCTACAAAACAAGTAGCCATTCATGTGGTAACTGGAGCCACAGGATGGATTTCCCATTGACTCTCACAAAATGTGATTATTGTAATAGGCCGTGTTCGGGGGTGGTGGGTATCACTGGGGGGCTCAAGTGTTTCTTCCCGTTTGTGAGTGAGTGTGTGTGTGAGTGTGTGTGTGTGTGTGTGTGTGTGTTAGCAAGCACCTGTGTTTTCACTGAGGATTCTACTTCTCTCTTTTAAAAAAAAAAAAAAAAAAAAAAAAAAAAAAAAACTGTGATTCTTATTATACCAAATAGCGGAAAGAATCAATAAAAATAACATTAGGGAATTTTAAGACTTACTCAGAAAGAAAGGAAATTATGATTCTGTTTCTTTTGCCTCTCGAGTAAATAGTAACTGATAATTTATCAGTACTGTCTTCTTTTCTAGCAATACCTAGATTCCCGTAGAATGTATCAAAGGTGTAGTCTGGGAGCTCCCTTGGCATGAAGTTGGAAGACATGTTACAGCCATATATGCTAGGGTTACTATGTCATGCGTGCTGGTGCCAGGGTCCATCAGGGACAGTTCCTCTATGACAAGCACAGTGTCAGGTACTTTCCAGGGTTACTGTGCATGCTGCCGGGTGCTTCCTGCAATGGTGAGGGCTCCTTTCCCTGGGGCCCTTGCAGTCAGTTCAGTAAGGGCCCTCCAGCACTGACTACTAGACTGTGAGTGTTCTGGGGTTACGGCTGCTTCAGTCTGGAGGATAACAGGGCCTTTCCTTGAAACTACATTTTACTTCTCAAGATGGTCGGTAGAATGACAGATAAAATATAAATGTATGATTGGACATTTGTAAGTCTAGGTGTGAGGTCTGCACCCCGAAGACACGCGTTTTCAAAGCAAAGAGGCCTATTTTACATGACCAGAGGCTGCTTTAGCGCTTAACCCCTGCTTGACCTCATTGTGCAGGAAACCCTGTGCTGTGCCGTGTTCCAGGCCTTCTTGCAATATCTGAGTCCCAGCAGTGCTCTCAAGCCTGTGAGGACGGAGCCTTGGGAATGTGCTGCTGGTTTACACATAGAAGGTGTCTTGTCCCAAAGCAGATTGAGCTTTTTCCTCTCGCTCTCAACTTCCCCTTCCTGGCCTGTCTCACTTAGCAGTGATGGTTGTGGACAGACTTGGTTAGTGTGTAAGGTTTCAGCCTGGAGTTTCTCCAGCTCTTAATCGAGTGGTTCTCCTCTGGAAAAAAAAAAAAAAAAAAAAAAAAAAAAAAAAAAAAGCTTCTGTTTATTCTTGGGCTTTCCAGGTGGGCTAGGTCCCTGCAGAGACGAGAAAGGGAAGCTTCCACAGTGGCCCTGTTTGAAATGTCCTGCTCATCAGTTGGCTTCCTGCCTTTGTTCTGTGGCCTCTTCAAGGCCAACATGGTGATGCTGTCACCAAGTTAAAGAATAACGTTGTTTCCTTATTCAAATTCTTCCAATAACCACT